ATCAACAGGACTATAAATGCGTACACCTCAGCGCTGGTGATCTGCTTCGTGCCGAGGTCAAGAGCGGCAGCGTCGTGGGCAAGAAGTGCGAGGAGCTGATGCGCGAAGGCAAGCTGGTGCCTTTCGCCGTGACGCTGAACCTGCTGAAAAAGGCCATGATTGAGAGTGGCGGCAAGTTCTTCCTCATCGACGGCTTCCCACGCGCCCTGGACCAGGCGGAGCAGTTTGAGAGCAACATCATGCCATGCAAGGCCGTGCTGTTCTTTGACTGCCCTGAGGAGGAGATGGAGAAGCGGCTGCTGAAGCGCGGTGAGACCAGCGGCCGTAGCGATGACAACGCTGAGACGATTCGCAAGCGCTTCAAGACGTTTCTGGAGCAGTCGCTTCCTGTGAAGGACCATTACCTGGCTCAGGGCAAGTGCCACGTCATCAGTGCCGTTCCGTCGCCGGAGGAGGTGTACGGGAAGGTGAAGGCTGTGCTGACCAGCCTTCACGCGCCGGAAAAGGTGAGCAAAGTAATTTCTTGGCGCGATACGTTTTCCGTGGCATCATCACTTTCGATGATTTTACGCTGGTCCGTGCACTCGTTGTGGGTCAGAGCGCTGGACGTGGCTATAAGTGTTAGCGCAAAAGAGTGAGGAGTCGCAACATGACAAGCTGGAACATGGCACGTGGTTTGGATTGCTCCCTTGCTTCGGATCGATTTGTGGAATACAATTGCTGTCCCATTACGACTGCCTTATCCGGCACCAACACTTTACCGAACACGATCCATTTCGTTTTCCAGTCAAACGGAGTCGTGCACTGTGAGCTGCAGGATTAGCTATTCCTGTATAATTGAAACAAATTTTGCATGCCTGCAGTTTGCGCTGCCCCCAGTACATGGCAGCCTGCCGGATGATGCTCAGATCATCTTCGTGCTTGGTGGGCCAGGCAGCGGCAAAGGCACGCAGTGTGCGCAAATCCTTGAGGAGTACGAATGCGTGCACCTCAGCGCTGGTGATTTGCTTCGTGCCGAGGTCAAGAGCGGCAGCGTCGTGGGCAGGAAGTGCGAGGAGCTGATGCGCGAAGGCAAGCTGGTGCCTTTCGCTGTGACGCTGAACCTGCTGAAGAAGGCCATGATTGAGAGTGGCGGCAAGTTCTTCCTCATCGACGGCTTCCCACGCGCCCTGGACCAGGCGGAGCAGTTTGAGAGCAACATCATGCCATGCAAAGCCGTGCTGTTCTTTGACTGCCCTGAGGAGGAGATGGAGAAGCGGCTGCTGAAGCGCGGTGAGACCAGCGGCCGTAGCGATGACAACGCTGAGACTATTCGCAAGCGCTTCCATACATTCCTGGAGCAGTCGCTTCCTGTCAAGGACCATTACCTGGCTCAGGGCAAGTGCCACATCATCAGCGCCGTTCCGCCACCAGGGGAGGTTTTCGAAGTTGTGAAGAAAGTGCTGGACGGCATTTCCGCACCAAGAAAATCTGATGTAAGTGACTTATCAGTTCGTGTCATGTGGGGTCCAATGCGATGATCCCTCCTGCCATGGCCTGGTCTGGCATACATCACGTATGCCAGGCGACTGGCAATTACGGCTCTGCCACACCCCGTGGTGCCGTATCATTGGCAAGAGAATGGGCCCGAATGTCGAGAAACCCCACGTCCATGCGTGCAGTACATACCATATCTATGCGTCGCCACACTCTGCCATTGTCCAACGTGTTAGGGTTCATGCTGGAATTGAGCACTGGGCCTAATGCCTCATTTTTATTTGGATGGTGACATGTGACAGCAGTGCGTGCAATGGCGCAGGTCATGCTTTGGTGACAGTGATACGGAACACAGCTTTCATAATCTTTCCGTGTCCGCGCCAAATGCACATACCCCGCAAACAGGGGAACTGAGTGATGTGCTTCTCGGTTTCGCTTTTGCGCAATGCTACAGTCAGACATAGAATGAATGCGTCATGTGCTTTGGTAATTGTAGGAGATTGCCCTGCCGCCTGTGAAGGGCAGCCTGCCGGAGGATGCTCAAATTATCTTTGTGCTTGGTGGGCCAGGCAGCGGCAAAGGCACGCAGTGTGCGCAAATCCTTCAGGAGTACGAATGCGTGCACCTCAGCGCTGGTGATTTGCTTCGTGCCGAGGTCAAGAGCGGCAGCGTCGTGGGCAGGAAGTGCGAGGAGCTGATGCGCGAAGGCAAGCTGGTGCCTTTCGCTGTGACGCTGAACCTGCTGAAGAAGGCCATGATTGAGAGTGGCGGCAAGTTCTTCCTCATCGACGGCTTCCCACGCGCCCTGGACCAGGCGGAGCAGTTTGAGGGCAACATCATGCCATGCAAGGCCGTGCTGTTCTTTGACTGCCCTGAGGAGGAGATGGAGAAGCGGCTGCTGAAGCGCGGTGAGACCAGCGGCCGTAGCGATGACAACGCTGAGACTATCCGCAAGCGCTTCCATACATTCCTGGAGCAGTCGCTTCCTGTCAAGGACCATTACCTGGCTCAGGGCAAGTGCCACATCATCAGCGCCGTTCCGCCACCAGGGGAGGTTTTCGAAGTTGTGAAGGAGGTGCTGGATAAGCTCCATTCCCCAAGAAAGCCTCAGGTAACGTTAGCTGAGTGACTAGGGATGGACTCAGTCCTGGACGTGTGGCAAGCTACTTTCTTGGGATGGCTCGCCGACCCACATCGGTGTGCCAGCTGCAGGCTTACACCTTTCGAGCCACCCTGTAGGGTTTGGGGATAGCTTTAGCTTATGAGGAGACAGGGTTGTGTAATCGATTGCACCGCTCGATCGGTTGTCAACTTAAATTGTTGGCATGCTGCGATGTTGCTTCATGAGGGCCAGTGGTGCAAAACAATGTCCTTATAGCATGTGGGGCTTTGAGAGCGACTGAGTGCTAACTGTGCGCGTTTATGCCTGAGGCGCTTACCTGGTTGGACCATGGCTAAATGAGAGTGTTTTAGCTCTTTTTTGTCATGGAGCACTTGACGTCATCGGTCATGGCGAGGCTTTATCATCTCTCGCGTCTGTCAAGCTGGGCATTGGCTTGTCCCTACGAAACAGGGCATTCATATTCAACTGCATTTGCTGCAATGTGTTCCGGCCCGCCTGTGTTCATGAAGCCAGCAAATCATTACACGTCGACGGCAGCGTAATACGTGTAACCTGATACGTGGCCTACTCGGCCTGACTGATTTCTTGGTGACCGCTGTACGACCGTTGTGCCTTTGTAGGAGATTGCCCTACCGCCTGTGAAGGGCAGCTTGCCGGAGGATGCTCAAATTATCTTTGTGCTTGGTGGGCCAGGCAGCGGCAAAGGCACGCAGTGCGACAAGATCAAACAGGACTATAAATGCGTACACCTCAGCGCTGGTGATCTGCTTCGTGCCGAGGTCAAGAGCGGCAGCGTCGTGGGCAAGAAGTGCGAGGAGCTGATGCGCGAAGGCAAGCTGGTGCCTTTCGCCGTGACGCTGAACCTGCTGAAAAAGGCCATGATTGAGAGTGGCGGCAAGTTCTTCCTCATCGACGGCTTCCCACGCGCCCTGGACCAGGCGGAGCAGTTTGAGAGCAACATCATGCCATGCAAGGCCGTGCTGTTCTTTGACTGCCCTGAGGAGGAGATGGAGAAGCGGCTGCTGAAGCGCGGTGAGACCAGCGGCCGTAGCGATGACAACGCTGAGACGATTCGCAAGCGCTTCAAGACGTTTCTGGAGCAGTCGCTTCCTGTGAAGGACCATTACCTGGCTCAGGGCAAGTGCCACGTCATCAGTGCCGTTCCGTCGCCGGAGGAGGTGTACGGGAAGGTGAAGGCTGTGCTGACCAGCCTTCACGCGCCGGAAAAGGTGAGCAAAGTAATTTCTTGGCGCGATACGTTTTCCGTGGCATCATCACTTTCGATGATTTTACGCTGGTCCGTGCACTCGTTGTGGGTCAGAGCGCTGGACGTGGCTATAAGTGTTAGCGCAAAAGAGTGAGGAGTCGCAACATGACAAGCTGGAACATGGCACGTGGTTTGGATTGCTCCCTTGCTTCGGATCGATTTGTGGAATACAATTGCTGTCCCATTACGACTGCCTTATCCGGCACCAACACTTTACCGAACACGATCCATTTCGTTTTCCAGTCAAACGGAGTCGTGCACTGTGAGCTGCAGGATTAGCTATTCCTGTATAATTGAAACAAATTTTGCATGCCTGCAGTTTGCGCTGCCCCCAGTACATGGCAGCCTGCCGGATGATGCTCAGATCATCTTCGTGCTTGGTGGGCCAGGCAGCGGCAAAGGCACGCAGTGTGCGCAAATCCTTGAGGAGTACGAATGCGTGCACCTCAGCGCTGGTGATTTGCTTCGTGCCGAGGTCAAGAGCGGCAGCGTCGTGGGCAGGAAGTGCGAGGAGCTGATGCGCGAAGGCAAGCTGGTGCCTTTCGCTGTGACGCTGAACCTGCTGAAGAAGGCCATGATTGAGAGTGGCGGCAAGTTCTTCCTCATCGACGGCTTCCCACGCG